GTATAAAATACACAGGCACACTTTATTTATAATAAACCATTAACAACAGTAACTTTATTCCCACCCACAAAAAAGAAATAAGTAAATAAAATCTGTTCAAGTAACAATCACAGCCAGATAAACAGAAATATCTCATTAAAAAGCTGTCATCTCCATCACGATGAAGTGCTTCACTTTGTGTTGTTTCAAGCAGCTTTTCATACTTTTGGCCACAGGATGGAGCCAAACAGAACTGTGTTGGAAAGCTTCGAGTAATGAACCCTTTTTCAAAGCAAGCTTCAGTGCTTCAGAAAAGCCTCATTTGCCCATCACTATTGAGCTGTACTAGGTTAAAATAGGCGCTTCGGATATTCTACTTCCTGTTTACGTTACGTTGCTTATGACTAACTTCCGGGAATGGCTCACTTGCTCCGCCCACTAATGGTCCAGACTGGTCTATAAACAAAACTAAGTATTTTCAGCAACTACAGGATTTGTTGTCACATTTGTGAAACATCGTATTTCTAGTATTTAAATGTGTTAAAATGGGTCTTTTTATGTATTAGTAACAAACCCCAATAAAAATATTTAGTCTTTTATGGTGGCATTAAGCCTTTTTATTACATTGTCACAAAGGCACAAGGATAATAACTGCTTCCTGTAAAATTAATTACAAATGTTGAGATGAATAAACATCTTAGCTCTGATAATTTATTATGTAGATTATGAAGAGGAATACACAAGACAGTGTTTGAAATTTTAATCACTGAGCAAGAAAAACAAATATAGATCCATCATTTTACGCTTCTCTCCTCAAAATACAACTCAGAGCTCAAGACTTTCGTTCTTTTATTATCTATGAAACAATTCCTACTTTGCATCTTTTGCAGGATCTTGAGTTAATCACAGGTGAATTAGAAAGATCCTGACCCTCATTAAGCTCATAACATCTCCAGCAGGTCTACCTGCCAGTGATTGATTGAGTTCATCTCATCTGAACGTCGGCCACATTGCAGCAGCTGCATGACGGATCACTGTACTCACCGGCTGCTGGCCAGCTGTGACAGAGCCAATTATACCTGCAAATCGGCCTGTGACCCTCCTTAACCTGTGGAAATGATGATCTGGTGCTAATGAAGTGACTGAATTAGAAATGCCATCTGTTGCTGCCACATCCCCCACATTTCCAAGGACACAGAGTAGAGTTTGTTAAAGGGAATAATAGACACTCTGAGACAATAAGGTAGCAAGCTTAACGATGCTATCGTTTGTTTTTTAAAAGTGGGAAAGTTGCAAGTTTGCCTTTAATATTTAGTTTAATTGCACATTTATTTTAAGAGTGAAGTTAACAACTTTTAGCCTCGTAGATCATTATGACCAAGCTCACACATCGACTGCTGGAGATAAGCACCAGCTCTCAATTCCCCCAAAAACAAAAGTGGAAATAATGGATGATGAAATGTCTCAAATTTTTTTTGACATGTTCCGGGCTTTTTTTCCCTTTGCAAAATATGTTTAAATAAAAAAGTTGACAGTTCTGCTCTTTTTAAATATAAACCACAACACACACCTTTGTTTTTGTTTTTGTTTTTGTTTTTTTAAGATAGTGGCAGGTTTATGTCAAAAAGTCTTATCATCCATGGCTGTACAACAGATGGGAAAAAAATGATCTGGAACAGTTACACTTTTACATGCTGGTAGGAAATATCAGTCATCTTTTGATTACCATAAACAGAATGCAAAGAATTTAAAATGCCTCCTCCTGTGAGGAACACATGATGTGCGTACATTACAGCGTGGAAAACAAGACAGAGTACATCTCCAAATAAAACATCTCTTACATTCGTATTTAGCTCACTCCCTGAAATGTGGCTTAAATCACAAAAACAAAACAAACATTGAGAAATAACAAAAAAGAAAGTCAGTTTCTGTTCACATAACTGTATTTATGTACACAATACAGGCCGATTTCATTATATCTATGTATAAATTAAGCACACAATTTACTGTTTTGTCCCCGTTTCAGAGGAAAGCAGCTGTTCTGAGGGGAGTCGATCCGTCGCTCTCGGCAGCTGATCTTGTCTGCAGGATATTTATACCCAGCAGTTTGATGGAGCATCAACATCAGGAGCGTCGATGAGGAGAACGAGCTGCAACATGTCTTCCTCCGCTGTCGCTCGCGTCCCTCGTCGTGTCATTTAAACACCTCCTTCATCAAGAAGGTTTCGCTGGTCTTTGTTGTCAAAATGTCTTTTTTGTTTTGTTTTGTTTTCGTCTTGTTTTCCCCTCGACTTAAAAAAAACAAACAAAAAAAGGACATTCAATATTTTTTGCAGTCAACACAAATATAAAAGTTGTCTGCAACTTCAAGTGTTTGTCACAGAATGAAAACATTCAAATGGAAAAAAAGAAAGATGTCGCGGATCGTTCTGAGCAGACTATCTGGAAAAAGGTTTCTGTTCACGGACATTTAAGGACAGCAGGGAGGAAATGTCATCCCAGGTAAAATATTACATCCATTTGTTCTTTGAAAGAAAATCAGGATGGGATTTAAAATGTCACTTTATGGAAAAAAGGGACCCTGACGGCTCCAGACAAAGAGAGCGACGGATCATTTAGAAGCACAGTGAGGCAGAAAACATTACAGGCTCGTCAGCTGTGCTTCTTTGTCCGACTCTATAAAACTGGAAACTATGAATCAACAATTATTTGGATCGCTGCTGAGGATTCTGCTGCTTCCTAAACTGTGTTTCTCTGATAAACAAGAAGGTTCTGTTCACATTAAAGTACCTGTGACATGCACATACTTCAAATACAAAAAGTCAAGGAAGTCATCTTTATATTTAAGAAAGTTGAAATGATATGCATGATTTAACCCATTTTGTCCCATAACTGGCATACCTTTTTTAACTTGGCTCAGTCAAAGTGAAACAGGAAGTGACATCAAAGGGGAAATCTTTAACAAAGAAAACTCTCTGGTCTTTGTTTAATGAAACATTATTATTTAAACTCTGACTCTTCTTCATCTCTGATAGTGACTCAAAATAATCTTAAGAAACATCAGATTCTTCTCTACAGTCTGGGTTGTTGGCTGTTGTAGCAACGCTCAGTTCACATGCAGACATTCCCCTTTGAAATCACTTCCTGTTACTTCACAGGCAAATATCTCAACAACTCTTCATCTCAGTGACATGAAATTTCTTTAGCAAATTTTTTTCAATGTCCTCTTTCTAAAAATGCATTCATATTTATTACAAAATTTGACGTCACAGGCACTTTAAAGAAGAGAATACTGACCGCACTCAGTTGTCGATGTCCGATATGTGGTTCTCTAGCTGCGACACAGGAAATGACAAAACAGCAGACTCAATTTTCAAACTTCGATTTTAAAAAAGCCTCTCTTTAGCTTTATGTAAGAAAGTATCAGAATAATATGCCCTTTTTGGGGTTGGTATATGTCAATTAGCTCTGGCAACCATGTTGAATTGTGTTGACTAAAAGTTGATCAGTTATAGATGCACATTAATCAATTATTTTCTGAGAGTTGGTTCCAGTCAATCAGGACTGCTCACCATATCAGCGGCGACTTCGTCTTCAAAGTCGTCTTCGCCGCCGTCCGTCATTTCGCCTGCCTCCACCTCGGCTGTCTCCTCCACCTCCTCCCCTCCAGAGTGGTCCTCTGTATCACCGTGCAGACGCTCACACGCCTCGTCTTGTTTCCTTTGCACCTCTAGAAAACAGATAAAAACAGATTTTCTTCTTTCCTTTTAAGACGAGCCACTCGATTAATGCGTTTCTGCAGCCCTCCCTTCTTCTTTCAGTACTTAATAATATGTAATCACTCTGCCTTCTCCCCCCGTGCGAGAAAAGAAATATTTACAGAAGCTCCTCCAGAAGACGTCGCTCCCCCTTCGTCTCGTCTTACCGGCATCGGAGCGATGCTGCCTCTCGATCTTCTCCAACCGGCCCAGCAGCGAGTCGATCTTTGTTTTGATCTGCGAGAGCTCCTTCTTGATTGTCAGGAGCTGGTCTGTCTTCACTGAAAGCAGAAACTCACAGCGTTCAAGAGCACGAACATTCTGAGACACAAACTTCTCACAAATCTGTGAAGAAGGTGAAAAGTCAGGTTGAAACAACTGTGTCCAAAATACTCTGGAAGATGTCGCAGAAACACCACTGCAAAAAGTAACAAAGTAGAACGTACATTTGGGGCTGGTGACAGAGGAACCGATGTTGATCGCTCGGGAGGATGAAGAGGAGGACGAGGACGAGGAAGAGCAGGTCCTGGCCGGGAAGGAGGACTTGGCTCTGCGAGCGGACGGCACGACTAGTCGAGACCGTTTGATGGGGATCACAGCTCGGGTCGGGGGCACCACACGACCGTGGTACTCGAAAAGTCTGAAGGCACACGAAACAGAAATCTGAGACAAAGAAATTTTCAAAATAAAAGCATAAATCAGGTTTTTAAAAGATGTGAAAGTCACTATTAAATAAGTTCAAAACAACATATTAGGGCCGCTGTAAACAAACAAAAAAAAACGGCACAAAAGAACTAAAGAAGACCTGTCCTCCTGCCTCACTGGCACAAACGACCAGCCTGCGGACAATCTGACATTCAGCAGATAAAAGCATCATTACTGCGGCCGATTCATTACGCCTGTGATAATGACGTTACTCTGCCTGAGAGGGGAAATGGAGGCTACTTTGATTAAAAATCATCTTCATTCCAGATCAGAAATGAGGAAAAAAAAATAAGAGAACAAAATACCACTTTTACATACCTGCTGTAGAAATCATCTCTGTAGTAGTCATAGTCGAACTCATAGCCACTGCGAAGAACAAAAAGGATGATTAGGATCAGAAATGATGGATCAGTTGTGCTTTGAGGCAAACGAGAAAACAGTGAAACCGAGGTTGTCAGGATCTGTGCTGTTCTGATAACTTTTCTGTTTCACTTTGCTCCCTGCTCCCTCAGTTCACCTTCCCTCCCTCGTTTCTTATTAACATCAGCCACAGCTGCAGCCTATCCTCTCATTAGTCCCAATCTCTATAGTCCCCCCCAGCTCGTCTCACTCCCAACTTAGAATTATAAAGACAGAAAACAGTTGTCTCCTGATGGTGTGAGGATTAATGACAGCAGCATGTTACAAAAGGACAACTGATATTACCAACTTTTTAAAAACTTATGGCCAGAGGTCTTTCTTCTATGTTTATACTAAAGCATGGAATGACATTCCTCAAAACATAAAGTCCATTTCAAAACTACAGCCCTTTAAGAAGAATCTTGTCTGCCATCTGCTGGACACTTTTTGTTGTGCTCATATTTAGACGTCCGATTTTGCGAATGCTGCCTTCCTGAAATTTGGTATGCTTGTTTGTCTTTGTGTCTGTGGTGTATAATGATGTGATTGTGATGCTGTAATTCTGAGTGTTTTATGTGCTGCAGAACAGGAACCTGCTGTAAAACAGCAATTATGCTGAGTCAGGCTTGATTTTAATTATCTTTTCCTGTTAAATAAATAAATCAAAAATCAAATCAAGCATAAACAGATGAACAGAGGAGGATAAAATACAGACCCCGTCGTATACAGACCTGTACAAGGATGACAGGGGTCTCTTAGAGGCTATCTTCGGCCTGTAGGGTTTGGGTTCTCCTGCCATGTTGATATCTGGAAACAGATTAAAAAAACACGATTGAACAAAGAGGAAATGTCAAATAAAAAGGCTTCTGTTGCTCAGTCACGAAGGTTTTAAGTTTATTGGTCTTAAGGACCAAAGCAATTCAAAGCAGTTTTTTCTATTTTGTCAGCTCCACTTAGTCACGTTTATTAGCGTTCTGAAAGTGCTGAGATGAGATTTAATGAAGCAGCAAAACAAAAGACAAAATTTGGTCATTCTTGTAGTTTATTTAGAATCATAGAAGATTATCTTAATGTTGCATTTGCATTTAAAACTGCAACACAAGTAAAGCTGAATTTTAAACAAGAAATCTTTTTGATTTGACTCAACAAAAGTTATACAATAAATGTAGACTTGATAGCAAAACAAAATCAACCCGTTTTTTGTTTTCTCAGGCCAGTCAGTTGTGCTGGCCATTTGGAATTGGGTTGGCTCCAAAAGTTAACCTGATGTCATGTACATCAGATCATTTCTGTCTGCAAGTTTTATTAAAATTCAACCAGATAATCATGAGATATTCTGCTAAAAGAAATGCTAATCTATAATTATCTACTTTTGCCTTTTGGTTCCTGGCAATAAAAATGCAACAAATATCTTTATTTTTTTTTTTGTTTTCCCTGCAATAAACACTTTCTTATTCTCATTTTAACACAAGTTTATTTTTTGATATTAATAAAACCCTGAATAATAATGACCAAACAATTTTTTGAAAAAAAAAAAGAGAGTCCAACCAGATGAGCTGAGGTAAACAGAAACATTTCAGTCATTAAATCCGTCAAAGAGGCAAATGGAAAACTTTCTGCTTTAATGGTACAGAGACAAATGAGGCACTGATTATACAAAAAGAAAAAGTTCAAAGTCAGTGTTAGGACATTTAGTTTAAGAGCGGGAGACAAAAACAACAAGAAGGAAGCTCTCTTTGAGTGCATTAGCAGAGTGCTGCGACTGATCAGCACGCGCCTCACGGCTCCCGTCACGACTGACGTCCCAACCTGCCAAGAAGTCTGCTGCCTCAAACCAGGCTGCGTTTAGACTGTCAGCCCGTCGTCACTGCCTCCGCTCCAAATCAGCTCAATAATCCCTGAGTGCTGCTCAAGGTCACACACAAAGAGACAAACAAAACYCMCCCCCCCCCYCCCTACAAACACACCAACACACACACAGGCTCGCTGAGAACAGACACCTTTGAGTCACAGATAAAACAGCAGCTCTGGGGTTCGTCACGTCGCAGACGACATGACAGGATGCGCTTGAAGTGATGCAGCCCGACTTTTGTTTTTTCTTCCACTGGAAACGGTTCTGAAAGTCTTCAGCTGCAGTGTTTTTGGCCCGAACTTTAAATTAAACAAAACTTATTTCACAAACACGTTTTTGGTTTCTGTCAGCAAGTCTTGTTTTCTTAAAATAGGAACTTGCAGGCCTTGAAGAACTGTGAGGTTTTGCGCGATCTGTTAGCACCTGGACTATGAGTGGTTTCAGCTACTGCCACACCAGATTTCAGATCAGTATCTATACAAATGATAGAGTTGTTGTCATTTTAGGCAGGCAGCCATCTTGAAGGATTAATCAGTTGTGGACGTACATTCAGATGATCTTATGAGAGGTTTATCACAACCTGTCCATTGTTACCATTGTTACACAGGCTATTTTGCTAACACACACAGGCAACTCATGACTGTCCAGCTTTCATTGTAGCAGGTGAAGATTACATTAACACAGCGACTGCTGCATCTGATCTTCATGAATTACACTGAAGGGACACAGATACAAGGTGAGAATTTTAAGACTCCACATTCCTTGAAGGAAGGCATATTGCCTGTCTTTTCGTCTGGACATAATGGTTAGGTGTCTCATTAGACATAATGGTTTGGTGTCTCCTTGGACATACTGGTTAGGTGTCTCCTTGGACATGATGGACAGGGTGTCTCCTTGGACATGATGGTTAGAATGTCTCCTTGGACATAATGGTTAGGTGTCTCCTTGGACATAATGGTTTGGTGTCTCCTTGGACATACTGGTTAGGTGTCTCCTTAGACATGATGGACAGGGTGTCTCCTTGGACATGATGGTTAGAATGTCTCCTTGGACATGATGTCTTTTTTTACACTCCATTGCTGTAAATAATGTCTTCTTATCATTAATCTGTTGTTCGCTGTAAATATACAGTAAATATCTGACACAGTTTTTGCTGCATCTGATCATTAAAAACACTCGCTGCTACAAGTTTAGCGTCACACTTTCTCATCCTTTGGTTTCCTTTAGACTCCCTGCTTTTTTCTCTCCCCCCTCTGTCCCTAATGGACTAATGGAGTGGGGATGTTTGCGTAGCTCTCAGGTGCACCGTGCAGCTGTATTATTATCACTGGCACACACAGGAAGTCATGAGTGATGCATCGTAGAGCCCGCTCCTCCGGTCCCCCTGCCAGGGTCATTTAAGAGAAAGCAAAGCACTAAAA